AGGCGAGTACTCTCCCACCTGGGTGGCCTGGAGCTGGTGGTGGTCGTGCGCGTGGTGGTGCACCGGGTGGTGGTTCTGGAGGCGGGCCCTGTCAGTACCAGATCCAGACCGGTCCTCGCCGCGGCTTCGTTTGCGGTAAGATCGGTCATTCTACTCCTCGCTGTTTTCGTCGCCTGGACGACCTGTTCCGCCAGCGCTTTGGCCCGGCGCCCGACCTCCCGGACTGGCACAGCTTGCTTAGGCGTAGCATTAGGATTTTTGACTTGGACATGGATGCCATTGTAGCGGCCTTGCATGTGATGTATGCTGATGACTCTAGTGTGCTTCCCTCTTATTACCCCGTGTTGCCTAGTGTAGCGGTGCCTAGCGTAGACTCCCCTGCTGCGTCAGGCGTAGGATCTCCTGCTTTGCTTAGCCTTGGTGCTTCCACCGCTTCACTGCTGCCTCGCGCGACTGCTGCGCTTTCCTTCACCTTGGACTCTGGCGCCTCCCGGTGTTTCTTCCGCGACTCCACGACGCTGACGCCGCTGCCTGTTCCCGCTGCAGTTACTCTTGCTGACCCCTCCGGTGGTCCCGTCGTTGCCCGCAGTTCCACCTCCCTTCCCTGTCCGGCGGTTCCTTCGGGCACTCTCACAGGTCTGCATATCCCCTCGTTCTCCAGGAACCTAGTTGGTGTCGGCTGCCTCCAGGACCTTGGCGTCACCACTACGTTCCCTGGTCACGAGCGGTATGCTGTCTGTACCGAGGCCGCCACTGGTGCCCCCCTGTCCACGTTCCCCCGGGACCCAGTGTCCGGCCTGTTCACTCTGGACACCGTGACCCCCCCGGCTGGAGCGCTCCCTCAGGTGGCTGCGTCTACCCAGGTTGCTGCTGCCTGCTCCTGTCGGTCCCTCACTCACCCGACTCTCCTTTGGCACCACCGCCTAGGTCACCCTGCGCTCCCGCGTCTGCGTCACATGTCCCAGCACGGTCTCGTCCTTGGTCTCCCCGGTTCGTTCCCCGAGTTTCCCTCCTCCCCCGCCCCACCGTGCACGCCTTGTGTCGAGGGCCGGCTCCGCCGTGCCCCTCACTCCTCCTCTTTTCCCCCTACCACCGCACCACTGCAGACTCTGCACATGGACGTCTGGGGCCCAGCCCCGGTCCATGGGCCGCGTCGCGAGCGCTTCTTCCTAGTGCTTGTCGACGACTTCACGCGCTACACCACCGTCTTCCCCCTGGAGCGGAAGGCCGACGTGCCTGACGTTCTCATCCCCTGGCTTGTCTCTGCTCGTGTCCACCGCGGTCTCCCTGCCTTGCGCCTTCACTCCGACCGGGGTGGCGAGTTTGCCTCAGGTGTCCTTGGTCGCTTCTGTCGTGCGGAGGGCATCACCCAGACGTTTACCCTGCCGGACTCCCCGCAGCAGAATGGGGTCGCTGAGCGACGCATCGGTTTGGTCATGGAGGTGGCTCGCACCTCCATGATCCACGCCGGTGCACCCCATTTTCTGTGGCCGATCGCCGTGCGCTACGCCGCTCACCAGCTTAACCTGTGGCCGCACCCCCAGCGGCCGCAGGTTTCGCCGACCCTTCTGTGGACCGGGTCCCCTGGTGACGCGTCTGCGTTCCGCGTCTGGGGCTGCCTTGCTCACGTTCGTGCCTCTGGCACGGACAAGCTCACTGCCCGCACCCTCCCCTGCGTCTTCCTCGGTTTCCCCCTTGACGCGTCCGACTGGCACTTCTACCACCCGCCGTCTCACCGCTTCTTTCACTCTCGCGACGTCACCTTTGACGAGTCCGTCTCCTTCTACCGCCGCTTTCCCCACCGTGGTCCCCCGGTTACTCCCCCCTTTTCCTGGTTCCTCCCTCCCTGGTGGTCCCTGCCCCTCCCCCCCCCCCGCCCCCCCGTCCGGCCCCTCTGGTGTGTCTCACGTCACCCCCCTCCCGTCGGTCGTCCCGGTCGACGAGTCTTCTGACTCTGGTAGTCCTCCGGCGCAGTCCTCGCCGTCTGTCCCTCCCCCGGTGTCTCCTCCTCCACCGCCTCCGCAGCCGCCGTCGCCGCAGCTGCTGCAGCCGTCGTCTCCACCGCCGCCGCCGTTGCAGCCGTCGTCTCCGCCGCCGCCGCCGTCGCGGCCGTCGCTGCAGCCGCCGCCGCCGCCGCCGCTGTCGTCGCTGCCGCCGTTTGTGGACTCTGGGGGTGTCCCTTCTGGGGGTGCAGGTGTGGAGGGTTCGGGAGGTAGCCGTCGCGCAGCTTGTGGCCCTGGTGTTGGTGTTGTGTCGCCGCAGCAGCAGTCCCCGCCTGTGTCCGCCCTCCGTCTGCTCGGCCTTCCGTCTCCTGACCCTGCGCCTGTTCCTCTCCTGCCGTCTCCCCCTCTTCCCGTCTACGGCCCCGTGTTCCCTCTGCCCGACTCGTTCCCGGCTCGTCTTCCCCCTCGTTCCCCTCCTGTGTCCCCTCCTCTGTCTCCTGACCCGACGCCGCCCTCACACGTCTGGTCTCGCCGCCCCTCTCGTGCTCGTCCTGTCTCCCCTGTCCCGCGCTCTCACCCTATGTTGCTCCGTTCCCACGCGTCTCGACCTCCCCTCCTCCCGTCTCCTCCTCCGTCTTCTCTTGTCGTTGCGTCTCCTCCTCTGTCCGACTCCTTTCGTGCCGCTCGTCCTCTTGTTCCTCGGGTCCTTGCCTCTCTCGTTACCGACCCGTCTGTTCCCGTGTCGAGTCTTGACGCCCTCGTCGCTGCGGTCGCTGACTTCGCCTCTACCCGCCGCCTTGACTACGCCACCGCTCTGGTCTCTCACCCTGCCTGTCCTCCGTCTGTCGGGGGTGCTCCTGCCCTCGGCAGTGACGTCCTGGAGGACCGCCAGTTTGAGCTTGCTTTCCTGTCCGAGGCTGCTCCCCATCTCTGTTCCATGCTGCTAGTCCCTGAGGGTGACCCAGACGCTTTCGACATCCCGACCCCTCGTACTTACGCTGAGGCGGTTTCGGGACCCTGGGCCTCTCAGTGGATAGCTGCCATGGAGCAGGAGATGGCATCTTGGAGATCCACCGGCACCTTCGTCGACGCAGTTCCCCCACCTGGGGTGAACGTGGTCGATGGCCGTTGGCTCTTCAAGGTGAAGCGCCCTCCTGGAGAGCCGCCTGTGTTCAAGGCACGCTACGTGGCTAGAGGCTTCAGTCAGCGCGAGGGGGTGGACTTCTTTCAGACTTTCGCTCCTACCCCGAAGATGACTACTCTTCGGGTGCTGCTACACGTAGCGGCTCAGCGTGACTACGAGCTTCACTCCCTCGACTTCTCCACTGCCTTTCTTCAGGGCAGCCTTCACGAGCAGGTCTACCTGCGTCGCCCTCAGGGCTTTACTGGCACCTTCCCCCCTGGGACCCAGTGGCTTCTGCGGCGCCCAGTCTACGGCCTGCGCCAGGCGCCTCGTGAGTGGCACGACACTTTGCGTGCTACCCTTGCTGACCTGCAGTTCTTTCCGTCCTCTGCAGACCCCTCGCTCTTCGTTCGTGCTGGCTCGACTCCGTTCTACATCCTCGTCTACGTAGACGACCTGGTCTTTGCCACTGCTGACAGGGACGCACTGGCCTCCGTGAAGGCAGAGCTGCTGAAGAGACACACCTGCACTGACCTTGGAGAGCTGCGCCGTTACCTTGGCTTGCAGATCTCCAGGGACAGAGCCGCGCGCACCATCACCCTGACTCAGTCACACTTGGTGCGCCAGGTCCTTCAGAGGTTCGGCCTTCAGTTCTCCTCCGCACAGCCCACCCCTCTTCCTCTGGACCACAGACTCTCCGCTCCAGTTCCTGAGGAGTCGGTAGATCCCAGTGGTCCTTACGCTGAGCTAGTGGGTTGCCTCATGTACCTGATGACTTGCACTCGCCCAGATCTCGCATACCCTCTCAGCATCCTGGCTCGTTTCGTGGCCACAGGCAGGCACCGACCTCAGCACTGGTCTGCCGCTAAGAGGGTTTTGCGTTATCTTGCAAGTACATCGGGCATGGGGTTAGTGCTAGGCGGACGCAGGCCAGTGGTCCTTACTGGACACACAGACGCTTCTTGGGCAGACGACGCCGAGACGCTCAGGTCTTCCCAGGGCTACTGCTTTAGCCTTGGTTCAGGTGCTGTCTCGTGGAGAGCTACCCGCTCTTCGTCTGTTGCCCAGTCCAGCTGTGAGGCCGAGATCTACGCCGGTGCCATGGCGGCACAGGAGCTCCGCTGGCTGACCTTCTTGCTCACTGACTTAGGTGAGCGGCCTAGCTCTGCCCCGGTCCTGTACGCTGACAACAGGGCCATGATCCTCCTGTGTCAGGAGCCTCGACTCGAGGGCAGAGCGAAGCACATCCAGCTGCGGTACTTCCTCCTGCGTGAGCTACAGCAGCGTCGCCAGGCTCGCGTAGTACACTTAGCCTCCGGTGCCAACACAGCTGATATCTTTACGAAGGCGCTTGCGCCTAAAGATCATCAGCGGCACTGTGTGCAGCTTGGTCTGGTTCCTGTAGTCTCTCACTTACTCGGGCCTTGACTCTGTACTGTCCTATATATCTGTGTGTACACTCAGACTGGACTTGTGTCCTCTTACAGTGGTTGGACTAGTAGTGCCGCCCTGTACTAGTTCTTGCCTTGCCTGTACTCCTTCTGACTGGTCTTTTAGACCCTTGTCTCAGAGGCTGGACTAGTAGTGCCACCCTGAGCTGCTTGTCTAGAACATTCCCCTATGCAGTCCAGGGGGTGTGTCAAACATGTTTAGTTATCATGCTTGTATAGACTGTATAGGGTTATCTTCTAGAGAGTACAACATTTAGGTATATGTTTGTGTACTCTCTCTCTCTATTCATCAATTTCACTGTTTGATAGTTATCCCCTCTACAGTAGGATGCAGTAGCACAAATACCAAGCCTACAATTATATAAAATATAATTTTAACAAGGTAGCCATGAGAGAAAAGGGAGACAACTAGGAAGAGAAAGATACCGTACAAGGGGGGGTTGTTCCCTCTACAGTAAGATCCAGCAATGTAGCACACCTGTACCAAGCCAAACAAATAGTTATATAAATTATATATTTGTTGTTACAATCCCCACAGGTAACATCAAATGTACAGTCTGTGCTACATGTGAATTCCCACTACAGATAGCGCTAAGAGAACGGATGATTTTGAAACGCTATAAAGTTCCCTGACCAACCAGGGTTCGTGCTAATGAGAAGGCGAGTGCCACATTGACATGCCGTCAAACTTGACAGCATACTTCACAGGAGCAGCACCTTCCCCAGCTTCAGGAGCAGCAGCAGCAGCATCCGCGAGCCTCGCAGAATGACCAGAGGCGGCAGCTGCGGCAGGGGCTTGGTCATGGGAGTCGTCCGATGCATCTTCCAGGGGTGTGAGGTCAATCTGCTCAATCTTAATGCCCGCTGCGTCCATGCTCTGACACAGGTCATCCAGCTCTGCAGGAACCAGGGGGTTGCAGGTGACGGGGGAACAGAATAATGGAGGAAAAAATCATATCTACTTCGATAGTCAGATGAATGCACACACGATTGTTGATCACGAACGTGATTGCGAAATGTACACCTGACCCCAATTTCCGCCACTTCCCCCACTTGGTCCTACAATCCCTTTCTTCCACCCTGCCCTCCTTCCTTACCTTGCCAGTTGACGCCGCCATTGGAGCCCGTGTCTTCGCTGTCATGCAGAGAATCGCGAGCCGGGCTGCTGGTGTGACTGTGCGAGAAGGCGGCGAAGTTACCACTGGACTGGCGACTGTTGGAGCACGAAATCGCCATGCGACTGATCGCCGGTCGCGCAGCTGTTGGCCCTGCGCCCGCAGACGGGGAACGTGAGGAGAATGAGACGAGCGCAATTGATAATAAGAACGCGCATTGCATAATCGGTGAGTTCTGGGGCACGCTTTCAGGGGAAACTAACGGGGAGGAAAGGTGCGACGGCATGGTTGCGAGGATAGCGCGAACACATCAAACGTAGTCAAGTTTCTGGAGGTACCTTGGAAGGCGGAAGAGCCGCTATTAGCGCGCAGCAGCTGCTCCCTCAGGGAGGCATGGAGAGGAACCGCGCCCGCCGCGGGTAGGACCCCGCTCATGCTACCACTCGCAGCACCACCCGACTCCTTGCCCATCATGCTACCACCACCGCCATGGTACGCGGAACCCACGGCGCCAGTCACGGCGCCAGTCATGGCTCCGCTGAGCACGTGCGCCGGCAGCGGGCACGACGACGTGCTCTGCAGCGGGCCGCTGTTCAGCGGGCTCCTGTGCAGCGGGCTCCCCGCCGGCGATAGCGACCCCGGCGTCGAGCCGCCGCAGCAAGACCGGGCGGTGGCGGCGGCGCCGCTGAGCACCGACGATGCGGCCAGGTCGTGCTCGCTGGCACTGGCGCTGCTGGAGCGGGAGAGCCGCGCGCAGTCCTGCGGCGCGATGGGGGCACACCTCGCACGCCACAGCGCGCCGAGCCTCCTCTGTCAGCGCCGCCTCCTCCTTCCAGTTGACGGCGGGGATCGGACACACCGACTCGCTGCTCAACGGCGCTCCTCCGCCACCACTGCCGCCAGCCGCAGCGGAAAGCGGCCTCCCGGCAAACATCGCGTGAGCGGGCGAGGAGCGCCCCGCGGAGCCTCCCCAGCTTAAACCGCGTTGGAAAGTGGGTCGTGGTTCCGCGCGCGAGGGGGCTCCGCGGGGGGTCGTCGGCGAGCAGCTCTTCCTGCTGGTCCACGGGGAGCCACGTGGGGCGGCGGGGCTGCATCTGGAGGAAAGCTCGGCGCCAAAGACAGGTCCGTCGGGGGACGCTTGCGTCTGCTGCTGCGGAAGAAGCGCTCCGCTTGTCTCACACGAACCGGGGGGCGGCGAAGCTTGGTAGAAGCGCGACGGCGCGCCGAGAGCGGAGCCGCCGGGTTGAGGAGGATTTGGGGAGGCGAGCCGGCGGGGGAGGGTTGCTGGTGCGCGGGGGTAGCGGTGGTGGCGGACGAAGGCGGCGGGGGGAGGTGCTGGAGCGCATCATGTCGGACGGCGATGCGAGGGACGGCCGCGCGCGGTGGTCGGAGCTGGACGGCTGTGACGACATGCAGAGAGCCATGGTTTACGCGAGCATTCGAGCCACAGCCGATTGAGAGCAATCAATTGAGGGGGGGTTGAGTACAATTAATTCAGAATTAGAGGGTGGAAGTGCTGTACGCGCGACCAGCGCCAAGGGCGAGTTGCCGGGGCTGAGAGACTGGGCCTGAAACGGAATCGAGTTCGTTCAGATCGTGGCCAGCGGTAGGGTGGATGCAGTGGAAGCTTCGTGGGAGCCAAGTGAAGGGTCGAGCAGAGGATGAAGTGGTTGACCTGACGACAAAGATGGGAATGAGAGTCCGTTGGGTTCGCGGGAGTGCTAAATGTCGACTCGAGCGGAGTTGGACACGGCATCCGAGAAATCGAGATGCATTCAGTATCTGTCATCCCCTGTCGTCGGCGGTGTGGGGAACATGTGGGGCAACCAGGCGGGGCGCGAGGGCGAGCGGGATCTTATCACGAGGCGAGTTGGTCCGATCGGGGAATTGCGCCCGTTGCTGATGGGAGAGTAGGTGGGTGAGGGAAGTCTGTAGAATGCACAGCAGATTGGTGGTGTGTGAGTCACCGTGTGACCTGTCACCTGGCGCACAGAACCAGATGCGCCGATTCGCGTGAGGCGCGAGCCGTTGGCAACAATGGCGCGACAATCCTGGCGTTACCCACACCTGTCGCTGAACGTGAACCCCATACAGGCGTGGGTTTCGAGGGAGGTGTCCCCTGTCCTATGGATCTGAATCGATCGAACAGATTGTTTCAAAGCAATTCGGGCCAATCGGAAACGATGTCCCTATGGTGTATCTTCCAAGGTCGACCCTCAGTACTGTATCCCATCACATCCTGCTGCTGCTTGCTTTGGGCAGTATTGAGAGGAATGTCGGTGTGGCAGAAATCGGCGGGGCGACGATTGGTGGGCACGAACCCACCAGCGAAGGTTGAAAGAAAATACCTTGTAGGGCGACCCCACGCAATTCTGACCACCCACCAGTGGAGGTATAGTTTCCAGGAAGAGCGGAATTGTGGACCAAAAACCGCTCGCGGTTACCATGGGCTCAATCCGGCAGGGAAATACACGTCTTTTTAGATACAGAACTCAAACAAAACATTCCGCGTAGTGCGGAATAAAAACGACAACCGAGGGCAAGCAAGACATTAAGCTGGAAACTTTACTGTATCTCCCGCAACTCAAGGTTGCTTCGTGTGAAATTATTGAAGCTTCTCTAAGTCACCTGAGGGAAATTTGACAACACAATTGCATAGGGCATTTGGGGCTTCGGAAGGGCCTTCGAGCCCGGATATGTTGCTAGATGACTTGTAACGTCCGTCAGTGATTTCTAAGTTAGGCTTCTATATCTCCAAATAATGCCCAAAAATCGCTCATTCCCTCCCATTATCACAGTATGTCATTCACTACCGCCGCAAATTGCATGCACTCCCAAATGCCTCTAAGTACAACCAATTTGATGGTATGGGGCATTGCGGAATGAAATAGTGCAGCCATTCTGTCTTTGGAAAGTGTATAATTCAAAATTTACTATTGCAATTGGAAAATTTATCCCACGCCCTCGAGATTATTTAGTGTTCAGTCCAACTATTACGTCCGTCCTTTGCATGTGACTCAAAGCTCTCGCATCACATTTCATCACGTCACATTGTACCAAATGTATTACCCTTGAGCTCCCTTGATGAAATACAAAATGGGGGCTCATATTACTTTCGAGAAACTCATATTTTTTAATAAGCGACCCATATTGAGTACTTGGCTTGTAGCACTGCGTTTAGGGCAATATGACCATGACAAAATTGCAAACTTGAAGGAAGAATTTTATATACCGATTTGTTTATATCAGTAACTAGAACAAGTGTATTTTGGAACAAGAACTGTTGAGTATAGACCCAAGTCATTCTAGTCAGCGGAAACTGTCAAGAGCTGTCATTCACAGGTGACCGGGTCATAAATTTTATTATATACGCTTTGACGTAGGACTACCAGCGGTTGACTCAAGCAAATAATGTAATAATGTGAGCACTTTCATGGCTCGAACATTACGGGCCTCTGCGAACTCTCACGAGGTTCAACAACAATCACAGCTTAAATGTTTCAGTGCGAGGGCGTGCTCTTCGATTCCGCCCTACTCTGCCTGTAAAACTACACAATCATTTGGGGTTTCCATCACCCTAAGCCTCAAGCCGTGCTGGGCGTGTTTGACTCAAAAGTTTACAGGCTGTGAAACTATCGCAATCTATGTGTACAGCATGGGCACATGAAAACTTTCTCCTCGGGGAAGAGATTGAGAACAAGTTCGTTTTTGCACAACAACGGATTGTTCGCAAACGGTAATTTTCTTAGTAGAACTCCTGACTCTGAAGGAGCACCCAAACATTTCGCCATAACGAAAGCCTAGTGGGTTCAGCTTCCCTGCGGAACATTAGGTAAGGGCGAGGGATTTTCCGCGGTTGTTTTCCTGAAATTGCATCTTTGGAGGCTCCTCTGATGCCCCAGGGCAACCTGCTTCCAGCATTTGCACCAGAAACGTGGAGCGTCACTACACCTTGAGCCTGACAGAGGAACACAACTTTTCAGGGTGCCGGTAGACAAAAACGCGCACGGGTTTCGCACGGCATCGTCACGGGCATGTGGGCTTTCGCACGGGCACGAAGGTTACCATTTTGATGTTTTGCGGGGTAGGCTTGAGTGGCATATTTTGGCGAGCCATTGTTCACTTAGTTACCATGTGTTAAGTTTCGACGCTTTCAAGCTTGAGAGAGTTTCCCTGGTGTAGCACCAGAGTGGTGGTTGGCGGGTGAGATGTTGAGTGATTTTTTCTGGTTTGGTTTGCTCTCTTTTATACTCAGTGTGATGGGGTGAGGTGTTGGAGTCGCATTTCAGCTCCAATATTACGGGCGTGTTCTAAATATTTCTTATATTACGAATTCAAGTTCGTGTCGCAACAATAACTACTGCGTGGATTGTGGGAATTTGTTTTCATGTCTGTTCCTGGGTTGGCTGTCGGATGTTGAGAACGACCCCTGGCATCGGGACATCGCGACCCCATTTCGTTGCCAAGTCAGCGTTCGGTTTCATGCGGCGACGCTCAAGCCACAAACAAACCCAGCGAGGCGTGTGTCATTTTTGCGAGCTCAACGAAAGGCTCGCTGACCTTCGCCGGAGCGCTATTCCGAGCGCGCCTGGAAGTTTGTGGGAAAAAGGTTGCGGCGCACATCCTTCATCTTGTGCCGCATGTTTGTCACCGCTGTCATGATGACGCTGCACTGCTGGCTCTGTTCACGGCCCACGTTGAGTGGGCCGTTGCCCGTGTGAAAACGCTAATGGGCGATGGTTTGATTGGGCCACGTATTGAGCTAGGCCTCCGGCGGGCATCAAGTGTACTCCCTATAAAGGATCTCGAAGCCGTATACGGCTCAAAACTTCGACCCTAGAACACACAGTACGACTATGATGCGTGGGCGAATTTGATATTTATTGTCAGATCTTCTTCAGGATAGATGACACGAGTCAGGCTGACCTGGGACCCGAAGACGAACTTGGAACCGTCTAGGCCAAATTCAAAACACAGTCTCATTCAAAAAGGATAACGAAAAGGAGGAAATGCCAAGAACAAATCCGTTTGTGTTGTCGGGGCCCGACAAGGGTTCGTGTGGTTCAATGAGCATCTTCCCAAAGCGCCAAAATATCAACACATCTTTCCGAAACAGCTCAAAGGCACCTCTTCTCCAATCGTCACGGATCGAAGGCGCGTGCGCTGACATTGATGGCCAATGCAAACGACTGAAGCAGCTTTCGTGCGCTGGCAAGAGTGGTTTCTGCGCGGGCGGTGATTAGACGTCGTGTATGCAACAGTAATGGATCCCGCGTGAACCATGCTGCAAACGAATTTACTGTGGTAGTAAAGAGGATCACCCATAAATTCAGTCGCAAACAATTTGGGAGGGGCCCTGCCAGAAATTGCGGGAATATCTTACACATGAGTCCTTTTCAGGTCCAGTTGTTTTTTCGGGCGGGTGCTCCAGAGTCGAGCACATAACTTGCGCGGGGATTTGGGCCAATATAGAGTAGTCTAGTTACCATTTTGGTTTTCAAGTCTAAAACGGGTGACCTTTGTTGTGTGTTTTGCGTTCGTCGGCAACACTGAAGGTTTGAGAACATCCCGTCCGTCTGAACATTTGGAGTCTCCGTATCGGATAGGGTAACTGCTGCAGATATTTGGGTCTGTTGACTGGGTCGTTGTCCATGAGTTCGGACTCATGGTGTAAATAAAACAAATATCATAAATGAATGAACCGTTCACTGAACGTCAAGTGTATCCAGAAGCTGTGCAAATCGGCAACACCACAACCACAATTTTTCACACACCACCTGCCCCTGTAAAACTGCATACAGCAGTTGTGGGAATTGTGTCAGATGACTGGGGTTTCCAAACGCCACGCAATCAGATCCTCGATATGTGGCAATTTGCTGTCTGTTTACTGTACAGCACCCAGCCCACACATCACTGATAGCTGCTGACGTGTGAGGCAATGGCCGTATTTCGAGGAGAATACCGTAAACCGCGTCTTCGCATTTGAGACTAATTCGAAAGGTAGAATCCGCCCACCCCTTCTCGGTGCGCGTTACGAATACCTTTGGGAGGGGTGAAATCTTCTTAATCGGGTTTGGATGAAATCAACCATGCTTCAAGTGACATGTTGTTGTAGCGGGGGGTGGTTTAACAACAACAAGCGAGAATAAGAACAAATCCGGGCAGGTTAGCTGGGAAATGAAACTAAAACCCTAAGGGGCTGGCATATATAATTGGGAATGGCATCAACCTATATTTTCTGCCGTATTGCGAGTTTGGAATTAAAGCCCATGATCCAAAATTTTCAGCGCGGGACCAAACTGAGTCCATTTGATATGTTTTGTTTTCCCAAAAAAAATGCCGCAATCTTGGTTTCGCCCACAGACGTGACGCGAAATTGTTGAATGTATCGTTGAAATCGACTTTGTAAAATGGGACTCAATGTGTCATTGAGTCTTAGCCGTCAATTAACCTTTCCAAACCAGGCTCTCAAGATACAATAAAGTTGGGTTCCATTTTTCATCTACGGCTGTAAATATGTTTCGATTTTGGATTTCATATGTCCGTGCGTCCAGCCTTCATATTCAAACTGGGCCCAATTTGATGTCCAAAACAACTGGGCCAAGTTTCTTACGAAGGCACTCATGAAATGAACAAAGTTGCGAGTTTTCGCACCCAATCAATTCATTTGTTTTCGTCACCTGCCGAGCACACTACCTCGCGTTGACTTTGTGGAACTAATTTAGGATCTGGG